GAGGCAAAGTACTTCCACCCTCTCATAATCTCAGGGAGAGGAGAATCAGCACAAGGGTCAAGCTGTTCTAGTCCTGACACAACTGCTGTACCTTCTCAAAAGGTAAACTTGAATTCCATTTCTCAGTGAGACATCAAGACTACTTGGCTGCCAGGCAGTCTGGGTTTAGACGCCAACTGTCTGAGGAAGGCCAGCTGCCGGGCACCTGAAGACCATGGATACCTGGAAAGTTGGAGCCTATCCTGTTAGGGAGTGTAAGGCACTGGTCCAATGGAAAACTGAGTTTAAGTGCAGTCCTTCCCTCCAGGAAGAGGGGGAAACCCCAGTTCCAGCTAGCTCCATTCCTAGGCAACCTAGAGCGAGATCTCAGGATCACTTTTGAGTAGTTCTATTCATTGCCACCCAGAAGATTAAGAAAAATATTTCACCCAGTGTTCAGTATAGTCTGTAGTTAAAGTTCTCAATAAATAGTAACTACTGTAATTAGTTCTGTTTGACTATTATTTCTTTTATATAAGTCCATTAAGAATCTCATATGGGAAGAGTATCAGAAGCAGTTGACAGGGATGGACTTAGTTCATTAGCAAAAAGAAAAAAAAATCTAAAAGTACCTCAAACCTCACCCTCAACTCTGTGTGTGTAAATTGGACTTAAACTATACACTAAACCAGATGGACAAAACATTCCATCCAAGAATAGCAGAACACATATTATTCTCAAACACCCATGAATATTCTCAAGGATAGATCATAAGAACTAATATTGTTAAAATACCCATACTACTGCCCAAGGTAATCTACAGATTCAATACAAACCCTATCAAAATTCCAATGGCATTTTTCACAGAAATAGAAGAAACAATCCAACATTTGTGTGGAACCATAAAGAATCTAAATAGCCAAACCAATTTTGAAAGAACAAACTAGAAGGCATAACACTTCCTGATATCAAACTATACTACAAAGCCACAGTAATGAAAACTGTATGATACTGTAATAAAAACACATAGATCAATGGAACAAGAATAAAAAGCCTAGAAATAAGCTCATACGTATACAGATACTTAATTTACAATAAAGGAGCAAAAACCATGCAATAACCAAAGGACAGTCTCTACAATAAATGATGCTGGAAAAACTGGATAGCCACATGCAAGCGAATGAAACTAGACCTCTCACAGTACTTAACTCAAAGTATTACACCTCTCACAATAATTTACTCAGAAAAGGATTAAATAAAGACTGAAATTTCATGACCTGACCAAAAAACTCCTAGAGGAAAACATTATGGGAAACAAATGGTTTTTTGGATATGACACCAAAAGCACAGTTAAAAAAAAAAAATGCAAAGACAACCTATGAAATAGGAGAAAATCTCTCTAAAACATATATCTACTAAGAGGTTAATATATGAAATCTATAAGGAACTCATGCACTCAATTGCAAAAAAGCAATTATCCAATTTTAAAATAGACTGAGTACCTGAATAGATATTTTTCCAAAGAATACATACAAATGGCCAAAGGTACATGAAAAGAGGCCCAACATCACTAGTCATCAGGAGAATGCAAATTAAAACCACAATGAAATATCACCTCATACCTGTCAGAATGGCTATTATTAAAAAGCCAACACAAACAACATGTGTTAGTAAGATATATAGAAAAGAGAACTCTGTACACTATGTGTAGCAATGTAAACTGGTATAAACCATTATTTTTAAAAGTATAATGAGTTCCTCAAAAAATTAAAAACAGAAGTACCATATGACCCAGGAATCCCACTTCTGGGTATATATCCAAAGGAATGAAAACAGAACTCAAAATTATATCTGCACTCCCATTTTCATTGCAGTGTTCATTCACAGTAGCCACAATATAGAAACAACGTAAATGCCAATCAACAGGTATGAATGGATAAAGAAGGTGTGGTATATATGATGTAGAATATATAATGGAATATTACTCAGCCATGAGAATGACATCCTGCTATTTGTGAGAATATGGATGGACCTTCAGTGAAATGTGCCAGAGAAAAACAAATACTTCATGGTATCACTTATATGTGGAATTAAAAAGAAAAAGGAGGAGAAAAAATGGTCGACAGGGGCTAGGGAATGGAGAAATAGAGAAAGATTTATAAACAGTTACAAGGGAAATTCTTTGCCAGTTCAGTGGTCAGGTTCAATGCTTTCACTGTCACAGACCTGAGTTCAATCCCTGGCTGGGGAAATAAGATCCCACAAGCCACACGGTGTGATCAAAAAGGAGGGGAGGGAAATGGTTACAAACTTCAACTATAAGATAAATAAGGTCTGAAGAGCTAATGTAAAACCTGGTGACTGTAGTTTATAACATTGTATTTTATAGTTGAAACTTATTAAGAGAGAACTTAAATGTTCTCACTCCCCCTAAAAGAAGAATAAATATATGAGGTGATGGTGTATTAATTAGCTAGATGGGTGGGGAAGAGGGTGATATCCTTTCATAATGTATACACATCAAATCACAATGTACACTTTAAATATCCTACAATTTTATACTTCAATAAAGGTGAAATTTAAAAAAGAAAGGCAAAGCAGGGAAGGGGAAACAATCATGGAAAGTGCTATTTAGAAAGGATGGTCAGGAAGTTCTGAGTGTGTGAACGTGAGCAGAGACCTGAATGAAGTAAGGGAGTCGGTCTTGCAAAAAAATATAAGAGAATTCCCAAGAATTGCAAAAAATACGTTTCACGTGCTTGCCAAAGAGCAAGAAAGTCAGTGTAAAGCAAGTGGTAGAACTGTAGGAGACTCTCTCTACAGGGACAGTGTGGGGAGCTAAAATGAGAGGCCTTATACTTCACATTCTAGCTTCAGAATAAAGCTTATTCTGAAAGTGATCATTCAGAATGTAGGATGGTTCTATAACAGCTGTTCCCAACCTTTTTGGCACCAGGTACAGGTTTCATAGAAGACACCACTTTTCCACGGACTTGGGGGCGGGGGGCAGGGTGCAGAAGGGGGATTGCAATGGTTCAAGCTCATTCTATTTATTCTGAATTTTATTTCTATTATTATCACATCAGCTTCACCTCAGATCATCAAGCATTAGATCTCAGAGGTTAGGGACCCATTTTCTATAAATCAGATTGTCTCAACTCTTTATTTAAACAATCAATGCCATGAAAGAAAAGTTGAGTGATTTGTTCTAGTTCCACATATCCAACAAAAATACCACATAAGCAATAAATCCAAGTCATATAAGTATTTTAAGTTTTCTTGCAGTCACTTTTAAAAAGGTTAAAATGAATAGCTGAGATTTTAATCATGTTTAATCAATTGATATATCTAAAATATTATTTCAACATGTGATCAATATAAAAACTGCGATATCTTACTTTTTTTCTGTACAAAATCAAAACTGGTGTGTGTTTTAACTGACAGCACATCTCAATCACATTTACAGCATTCAGCTCAGTAGTTACATGTGACTAGAGTCTACTATATTAGACAGCATTGCATTAGACAGCATTGTTGTTGTTGTTGTTCAGTCACTAAGTCATGTCCAACTCTGTGACTCCATGGACTGTAGCCTACTGGGCTCCTCTGTCCATGGGATTTCCCAGGAAAGAATACTGGAGTGGGTTGCCATTTCCACGTAGTTCCAAATTAGACTAAAGAAACACAACTACTGCAATGTGTGTACCTTAATTGAATTCTGATCAATGGTACAGACTTTGGAGGATAATGGGGAAATTTGAATGTGGGCTGGATGTTAGCTGTATTATTGAATCAGTAATTTTCTTGAGTATGATAATGGTATTGTGACTATGAAAAAGAATGCCACTATTGTCAGGAAAGCATTCTGGAGTATTTAGGGATAAGTATCAAGATATCTTCATCTCATTTCCAAATGGTTCAGAGAGAGGCAAAGTAAATATGACAAAAATGTTTTATAAAAGTGGGGAGTGATGGGAAGCCACTGGAGAATTTTGACAGCACCTGATTGATAATCTGATTGACTGCTCTGTAGTCTGTCTGCATCTATCCTGTAGGGAGACCAGTGTGAAATGACCTAAATGGAGACAGTGAGAAATGTATTCAGGATATATTTTAAATATAGCATTAACATGATTTGCAGGTCTTCTTGAGAAAAAAAAAAGGAAGACGACTTTCAAGAGAGTGGTATAAACATAGGTATTTATTTTTCCCATTCCACCATCTGCCTTGAAATTATTCCATGAATACAGAAATACCATGTGTGTGGTTTATATAAACATATTGCTGACAAAGAGATGATAGCAGAGCATCATTTAGTTTAACAGGATTGGAGTGAGGGTCAGGAGAAGATACAATTAAGACCGCTTGCCTAAAGAATAGACCATGATACTCAGCCACAACTTAGATCAGGGGAACCAAAAGGAGTCAGCAAAAGCCAGAGGAAAGGAACAGTTACAGACATTGAAAGGCAACCCTGAAAAAGCATATGATGGAAACCAAGCATTCCAATCAAAAAATATCTTACTGTGCCCCCCCAACACCACATTCACCAGACAAGGTTCTAGTTATCTTGAATATATCAGTAAACAAGAGACTAAGTTTTTTGTCCTCATGGAGTTTATATTCAAGGAAAAGGATAATACACATCATAAACATTATAAATGAAGTATGTATTAGAAGTTATTAAGAGGTATGGGGGAAAAGTAGGGTAGGATAAAAGCAATTGAGAATACCAGGAAGCAAGATACAATATTAAATAAGGTTAAGTTCCCCCAAAAAATAGTAAGGGTTCTTTGGTGTCAGTTACAGGGAGGTAAATGTGGATGTGGCTGAGAAAATAACACTGGACTTAATTTTTTACTTTCACACTCAGAAAGTTTCTCGTCAATATGTGTTCTCTTATGTTCACTGGGATCTGTATTCAGTCTAAAAGCTTTCTCATACTTTTCACATTTATATGGTTCTTTCCTATATGGACTCATTCGTGTACATTAAGTTCTGAGCTCGGATGAAAGGCCTTCCTACACCCTACATCCAAAGGGTTTCTCCTCAATATGTACTTCTCTGTGGTGCCTTAGGCCTAAGCTATAACTGAAGGCTTTTCCACACACTTGACACTCATAAGGCTTCTCCCCATTGTGGGTTCTTCTGTGTTCAGTAAGATGACTTCCCACCCAAAGCCTTCCCACATGGGTTACAACCATACGGCTTCTCCCCATAGTAAATTATATTTAATATCAGATCTGCAACTGAAAGACTTCCCACACTCAGCACACTGGTAGGGTTTTTCGCTTTCTCCAATGTGGATTCTTTTGCATTTGGTAAAGTCTAGACTCCCACTGAAGATCTTCCCACTTCTGCACATTCATAGCACTTCTCTCCAGTGTGGATCCTCTGATGCACTGTAAGGTAGTGCCTAAACTGGGATTGCCAGTCAGAGCACTTGTAAGACTTCTCCCCACAGTGGATTTTCTGGTGCATGGTAAGGCAGCTCCTGGTCTTAAGGGCTTTCCCATAGTCACTGCACTCAGAGGATTTCCCTCCATTGTGTATCCTTTTATGCTGAGAAAGGACTGACCTGCTACTGAAGGTCTTCCAACATTTATTACATTCAAACGGTTTCTCCCCATTATGGATTCAGTGGTGTTTAGATAGGGTTGAGCTTTTCTTAAAAGGATTTCCCACAGTTCACATTCACAGGTTCTCCTCCAGTGTGAATTCTCTTGTGTTTATTAAAATAGAGCTGAGCTCCCACTAAAGGTTTTGTAACACTAGTCACACATACAGTTTCTCCGCACTGTGGATTCTTTATAGTGTTGGATTAGGGCAGAGTTTCAGCTGAAAGCTTTCCCCCACACTTTCACATCTGCAAGGTTTCTCCCCAGTGTGGATTCTTCTATGTACAGTGAGAGCTGAATCACCCTGAAAGCTTTTCCATATTCAACACATTCAGTTTCTCTTTGGCATGCATTTTCTCGTGCAGAATAAGATCTGACTGCTGACAAAAGTTTTTACAACCTGTACTACACTCAAAGAAACTGTTCCCATTTGAAATTTTCTCATACCTGGCATATTCTGAGCTTATGTGCACGCCTTCCTCTAAATCCTTCTGAAATGAGGATTTTCTTACCTTTGTCTTTCAGCTTCCTATAGTGTCTATTCCTAATTCCCATCCTTCAATGTTTCTGTAGATTTTCGACTTTGATTTTTATGAGAATTTGTCAAGATGACCCTTTGTCACTTCTCATTTTCAAAAGATAAGTTTTTCAGTTGATTCCCTACCTCCAATCTTGGTCTTAACACTGGACACTAAAAGAGAAAGAGAGAGAAGAAGAAGAAAGGAGGAAAGGAGAAAAGAGGAATAGAAGAAAGAAGGGAGGAAAAAAAAGAAAATGTAACTTGTTTATTACACTCAGGTGGGGGGAAAATGGATGGTGATTATATGAAGAAGAAAAATGAGCTATGGTGAGACATTCTCTAAATCTAAATATTGTTTAAATTTAGGGACATGACAACGGACAAAATTAAGAAACACCAGGATAGAGCTATCGAAGAAAGATAAAGGAAAAGGAAAATGAGTTGAAGCAGAAAACAAAAGGAAATAAAATACATGGTAAAATAAAATGGAAAACCTTAAGCACATAAAGAGGGATTTTGTTCATAACCTCAGAATACCCTCCAAACTGAACAAAATGAGACTAAAAGACAGGTTACATTTGCAGTGATCCCACCAAGGAGGCCCAAGAACAAGACCAACTCAAGGAATCTGTTTAGCGCAGGCCTAATGTCACACATCTCACTTTGAATACATTCTCTTCTGAATGCTAGGTTATTTTCAGTATTTTCTTTCAAACTGTATCTCTGAACTCCTCTTCTCTATATATGTCACTAAATACCCCTTCTATAGGAAACCTCCCAATTAACTCAATCCAACTTTTGTCAAACAAGGACTGAGTCTGTCTCTATTACTGTTCATTGTGTACTAGTATACACTATTTTGTTAAATCTTAGCTAATTAGGTCATATATTTGTCTCCCAAACAAGAATGTCAAGAATATGTAGAATCTCTGGCATAGATTCTACCTATTCTAAGAATAATCTCTTCATCAAAATTCAAAATAGAGTTACAGGAAGTCTCCTACATATAAACCTTCAAGTTGTGAATCTTCAAAGATGTGAATGTGCCCAGAGAAAGGACAAAGACAAGAGGAAGAAATAACTCAAAAACTGAAGAGATTCAAAACAGGAAATGGCAAGGGGATTTTGAGGAGGCATTGGTAGTTTTTGAGGCATAGGACACAAATGTAGAATGGTTTACAAAGGTTGCAGCAGTCATTCAGAATGCAATCCAGTGCCACTATGTCATCTATGACAAGAAAAAAAGCTATGACCCAGACATCATGGAATCGTTTTTCAAGAAAGCAGACAGAATTGAATAAAGCAAGGAACCAGAACCAGAACCTGTGCCATCGATGTCAGGTGTGAGTGAAACTGCAGCTTGCTCTATCTCCTACTGCTGACAATCCTTCAGCTCTACCATTTCCCACCTCCTCTCCCATCTCCAGTCAGTAGTTCTTGCCTGTTCACTCAATGCCTGTAGGAGACAGGCCTACTAAAAGGCCTGGCAAAAGAATTAAACAATCTTGCTGAGAGGACATGACTCAGTATGTGACTCCTGGAGGAATCCAAGAAGGATCAAAAAACATCTTGAAAGCAGGATGTACGCCTGGGGATAGAAAGCCATCAACAGACTGTTCCTATCTTTGGCGGCTAGGAGGCACATAAAGATTAACTGGGTCTTTGTCCTTGAGGCAGAAAAACAGGGATACAAAAATGTTAAATGTTAACTGCACAGGATTATCATTGAAGGCCACGTGGCCTGCTATGCTCATATAAACATGTACAAGCAAGTCTCAAAAAGTATAATAAAGCAGGCTTGAGATCAGTTTGGGCACCTTCACCTCATGGTGGTCTTGGTCCCCTGATCCCTGCTGTAACTTTCTTGAGTGTTTCTCATTCTTTCGTCATGCGACGCTTTCAGGAACCTGTGCTGTCAAGCTGGACTCGACAGACGCCAGCCCCTGTAAGCCAGCTGTTATAATGTACCACTGTACTTTCCAAGGTACTGTACTATAAGATTTTAAATGTTTTTTTTGTTTGTTTGTTATATATTATTTGTGTGAAATGTATTATAAACCTATTATTGTACAGTACTAAACAGTTGATTGAGTATATAGTTAGTTGGGTACCCAGGCTAACTTATTGGACTTATGAACAACTGGACTTACAAACACACTCTCAGAACCTAACTTGTTCATGGAACTTGTTCATTTGTAGGAGACTTACCATATCCTCAATATAAGCACATGCATACTAAGTCACTTCAGTCATTTCTAACTCTTTGCAACCCAATGGATCATAGCCTTCTAGGCTCCTCTGTCCATGGGATTCTCCAGTCAAGAATACTGGAGTGGGCTGCCATGCCCTCCTCCAGGGGATCTTTCCAACCCAGGGATGGACTCTGTGTCTCCTGCATTGGCAGGTGAGTTCTTCACCACCTGGGAAGCCCCAGTATAAGCACAGTATAGTTGAACAACATGGGGGTTATGGGTGCTGACCCTCTGCTCAGTCAAAAATCCACATGTAGGGACTTCTCTGGTGGTCCAGTGGTTAAGACTCCATGTTCCCAACACAGGGGACACCTGTTTGATCATATGCAACTAAGATCCCATATATTGCATGATGTGGTCAAAATAAATAACAACAAAAAAATTTACAACGAGATACCACTTCACACCAGTCAGCATGGCCATCATTAAAGAGTCTGCAAATAACTAATACTGGAGAGCGTGTGGAGAAAAGGGAATCTTTCTATACTGATGGTGGGAATATAAGTTAGTACAGCCACTATGGAAAACAGTACAGAGGTTCCTGAAAAAACTAAAAAAAAAAAAAGAAAAACAGAATTACCATGTGATCCAGCAAGCCCACTCCTGGGTGTATATCTGGACAAAATTATAATTCAAAGAGATATATGCACCCCATGTTCATATTAGTACTATTTATAATAACCAAGACATGGAAACAACTTAAATGTCCATTGACAGATGAATGGCCAAAGAAGATGTGGTACATATATATAATGGGATATTACTCAGTCATTTAAAAAAATCTGCTTGTAATTTTACAGTCCACCCTCCATATTCAAAGTTCTATATCCTCCCATAAATCGTGCAATACATTTTAAAAAAAGAAACACATGTAAGTGTACCCACACATTTCAAACCTATGCTCTTCAACTGTCAACTGTCTATTATGCAGTGATGCTATCTATAGACTGCAAACAGCACCAACACCTGAAATACAGACTAGTATATACATGGGCTTTTTCAATGTTCATACAACAAATATTTATTAAACACAAATCATATGTCATGATGTTCTAGGGATAGATAAGTCCAGTCTTTTGCCTCGAAAATCTCAGTCTAGCACAATGCTTCTCAAACCCCTTTCTCTGATATACCCTATACATATACTCAAACATAAAGCCAAATTTTTTTAAGCCAAGTATTTTATTCCCATTTTACCTCTGATCCTACTCCCACAACACTCTGTACCTGCTTCTATCACAGTGTTTATCACACTGGATTGTTATCACAGATTTTCTAGTCTGTTTCGCCAACCAGACTGAAGTACCTCGAGGTACCATACTTGGTACCAGAGTCATTATCTGGCACTTCAAATACACTCAGTAAATGTGTGAATGAATGCATGAATTAAATGAATAAATGAATGAACTGTTTAGCATCTGCTCCAGATGTACTGGAGAAGGCAATGGCACCCCACTCCAGTGACCTTGCCTGGAAAATCCCGTGGATGGAGGAGCCTTGGGGTCCATGGGGTCGCTGAGTTGGACACGACTAAGCGACTTCACTTTCACTTTTCACTTTCACTCATTGGAGAAGGAAATGGCAATCCACTCCAGTGTTCTTGCCTGAAGAATCCCAGAGGTGGGGGAGCCTGGTGGGCTGCCGTCTACAAGGTCGCACAGAGTCGGACATGACTGAAGTGACTTAGCAGCAGCTCCAGATGTACAAGGCGCTGACAGGGAAAGCTGGTGTTATTAAACTGAAGGTTGGCCTCTCCTTCCATAGATATATCAGGTATAGTACAGCCCAGTGTTCACTTGGGTCTTTTTTTTTTTTCTCTGTAATAGTCA